AAAAGTAAACATTAAAATGTCTTGATCATTAAATATATCGAGTATTATTTCAAAACAATTTTTATCATAGACAAATAATAAACAAATAAATTAGGATACTTAAATATGATGACATTGTTTTAAATCAAAAATAACTTGATATGAAATATAAACAATCATAAAAAAAAACGGAGGAAAAGAGAAAGTCATTTGATATAAATATCAGTTGAACAAGATTTTCATATTTTTTAGTTAAATAAACATATAATTATGATGAAATAATTTTTGATCTCGTTTACGAATCATTTTGATTTATTTGAACATATCAAATATTGGTGCAAAGGAGCACCGAATACACACGCTCCATACAAGTCAATTGATTTGTGTTTGCGTTGTGATATTACTTTGGTGCCCAGACCAAAGCAGGTGGTTTCCTCAGGGGGCCACCTCAGGAGCGTTTGATCTAAAGGTCTGATCCACAAGGCAGTGGAGCAACGCTAGCAGATGCAGTCCTATGGTTCATACGTCGTTTGTTCCTTTAGGGTACTGGAGCCCATGTACAATAATGATTTTGAATCAAGGTTTTCCAACACCGCTAGGTAGATCGTTCATATCCACTAACTTGGTTAAATAGCGAGATATTCGCTTTTCGTCCTCTCACTTTGATAAACAACACCCCGTCACAAGAAGGCAGTGAGTAGGACTTCCCTGGCGGTAGCTGTACACGTGTGGCCATGTGACAGTATTTCGAGAAGAGCGGACCCTCTTCACCCTCGTCTGCACTAAGGCATTTGGGAGCAGATGCAAAAAATATTTGCTATAGTGTTTAATATACTTAAAATTGAAGAGCTGAAAATGAAGACAGTCATCGGTTTTAAATGTATACCTCTTCATTGAATATAGATATTTCACAGTTTGTTAAGATGAGTTGTTGCATTAGTAGAAATGTCGATTAACTATAGAAAAGCAACTTTTTTCGACTGGACTATCGATAGCTTGACTGTTGATTGAAAGACCTTTAACTCCCCCATATAAATATTTTTGATAATATTCATTCCATCACATACAATCTTCTCAAAAAGGTTTATTGTTATAATGATGATAATAATAAAAATAAACAACGTTAGTCATTATTTTTCATTTAGATTTTATTATAAGTTCGTTTAGTAAATATAATTCACTGATGTATTTAAAACATTGCGTTTAATAAATATAATGATATAAAAATGCCCGTAAATCATACAGTAACATTAAAGCAAACTTTTTTAGATGACCAATAATATATGTCAGTTTTAACTGGTTTTCTCTTGAATTTCCAAAAGAGTTGTTTACTTCACCTTAGTTTTCAACCGTAAATATTGATTATTCTATGCTATGAGAAACTGGGCAGACGTTTTAATCCTCACTAAATAATTAGTATGATTTTTAATACTCCATTCGAACAAAATGCAACAAATACCTTGTCAATGTTATCCAAAATACTAAAATTCCATCAAATCAAAAACAAGTATTTCAACACTGTTGTCTCACCTGAACGCTTAAACTCTACACCATTGAGTTGGCATCCAACAGTGTCGATGTTTGACTTTGAAAAATTCACAATGGTGCCCAACCATCTTCCATTATCTTCGGTGAGTAACTGTCTCACACCCGACATGCTTTGACCTTACCGGTCACAACTTCTTTCGAAGTTAGTCACTAGTGAGCACATGAAAATTTTCAGAATCGGATAATGGATATTGTTGAATTTTGTTGAAGTCTTTGTATATATTCACACAATATTGTGGATTAATTGAAGTTAATCATCGACATTGTTGAATGCTGGCTCAATAGTGTAGATTTTAAAAGTTCGGGTGTGAGACTGATGGCCTTGGTTTGATTGCCGCTTATAGGGTTGTGGATGTGCACTGCTATGATGTCCTATACTGCACTGAAACAAAAGTCCAGATTTTCCAGGTTTCCAACGGTGGTTTGACTCAGGTTAGTTTATGAGTTCAATGTGATTTTGTTTCGTTTGAATGTACCCACACGTAACACATAGGAGTAAACAATTTTAAATAAATTAGATATTTCTGCGGATTTCAGTGTACTTTCATTTGTTTCTGTTATGGTTATAAAATATGACGTTAGCGTATATTTATCGGTGATGAATATTTGAGCAGAATGTTACGGAACTAATCATGTGTAAACAACCACAACAGGAGTTTTATGTAATTATACTAAATCTTTGACGAACACCAATTTTATCAATAGCGTATTTACCAAAAAGAATTTGAAATGATGTTTATTATATGGAAATTATATGACAATTAAACAATAATCTTTTCTCAACTTTGAACCAATAGCAAAATTATTAGTATCTAGCTACAAATAAATTATGAGATAATATGAGAGTATTATGGATGAATGACTGAAATTGTTTGCTTTCAATGTGACCTTAATCATAAAGACCAGGGTCTTATTTAGTTACTGATGAACATTATTTCTAAATTTTTATATGCTTTTAGCATTGTAGAAATCCTCTTGAGTACAGATAACAAGTAATGTTTTATTAAATATGAGTTGTGCATAAATATGAAGTAGTAAACTAGTAGATTGCAGTTAAGTAACTGAGATTACAAATTTTGCGACTAGTCGATATTTATTAAAAAAAACCTACATTTTAATTCGAAAATCTAATCTGTTACTGACGTTATGGGAATATATAGCCTTTACATGAAAGGTGATTGATTTCCAGTGCTGTGATGATTTAAAACACGTCAAATAATTACACAGGGAATGTATTGCCACATGAATCGTTCATGTATTTTACCATAAGTTTATCAGTCGTAAAACTTCTAATATCAGTGTTTGTATTAATTAAAGCTTATATTTATCATTCAAGTTTTTTTATTTGATGTTAGATGTTTACAGTAACATTACGTATTTTTTGGAGAACATAATGTTTTATGGTTTTTTATCTATTCACTGCAGTGTACAGTTAACAACTACTATACATCAAACTAACCCATCGTTCTCTTTAATTTGCATAAAAAGCGTAGCTGTTCTGTATCACTTAAGTGAGACATTCTTGGTTACTTATTTTTTCAAGACAATAATCATAAATAATAAAGTAAAATGTGATGATTCTTTTCTATCGGTCAGTGTTATCCTGAATGTTCTTATCTTCACTTATATTATATGTGACGAAATGATTTCTTCCATTTGATGAATTAAATATTCATGTAAATTTCATAATGCAAGAGTATTCTAGTTAATGAAAAGTTTATCAGGATGCATTCTTCTTCGTTGCATTTTGATTTCTGCCAATTCTGAACAATAAACTCATATCATCAGTGAAGTTTGTGTAATAAGCTTTGTAGGAGTTGGAAAAGTATCTTAAATACATAATGTATATAGGATTATAATTACTTACTTCACATAAACATCTGCAATAACGTATGGTATAAGATAGATAATAGAAATTTCGTTCTACAAGTAAAATCAATTTCCGATACTGGATTTCTTGATTTTAAGCAACCTTATTGATTTTATAAGATTCTGCGTTATTGTTGAACTTTCAATTGCTTGGAATTGATCATAATTGCTTTGAAGCTTTTCCATTTTATGAAGATCATTTAAACGTTAATAGATAAATATTTGACCTCAGAAGTCTCACTAATTTATTAAATTGCTTTGAAGATGGAATTTTTGTTTTTTGCTTTGGCATAGCCATAAAATTAATTTAGGAATGTTTTTACTGATGGTTTTATAAGCAAAATATAATATTTTTATGTGGATTTTACTCAAGCAATATCAATAAACATCCTTTTCAAGGTTTTCCAGAACAATTATTTTGTATTACCAGTGTCTTAAAGGACCGTAATCACCATCTACTATTACAGTTATAATGAAATTGATAGTAACAACAAAGCACAAGATAAGTTATAAAAAACCTGGCAGTTTAAATAGCAAGCTATATATTAAAGACCATATATACGTGGTTAATAAACACAGATTTACCTACAAGAGATATAAATTTAGAAGTAATGACCTATCCTCAAATACAATAACTCGGGAGGCATTAACACCGATTAGTTCACATATCAGTATCAATATTATTTGATGTATTCAGGAGCTACTCGTTTTCTTGCCAGTCCATTTTTAATCGACACCTTCATGGTTGCTAAGTGGAGGAATTTGTGTGAGTTTGAATCCCACATGTGAGATCGTGAAAAATAATTGCTAAAGAGTCACATGCTAGAACGAAACCACCGTCCAGGTTTTAAATAGTCGTTTAACATTGACCAGTTCATGATTTCAACGAAATTGGAATGATATTTCGCTGAATATTCTGAAAATTAATAAAGTTTGTAAAATAATGTGATTTTGTCTTTGTCACTTTTATCTAATATATCATTTTTATGTGAACAATTTCAGATTTATCGAATAATAAATCCATATGAATTTATGAGAATAAATTATAGTTAATTTGTGAAGTGTAGTGCTAAACATCCACTAGATGTGCTTTCAGCTTTCATCTTTGTCTTAGATGAGTAGCATAATCACGATTTCATCTGTTTGTCGCTTATTTAATGACAAGTAGTTTAATTGGAAGATAGTTTTCAGAATGAGTTCATATTAAATTGCAATTTTTTAAGAACATAATGCATTGATGAGCCATTTGCCATGGATAAGAAAATCTCTCTCATGATTACCGATAATCTAAAAGTGAAACCTGAAGGTTACAAGATGATTAATTAATCACTGTACCATAATGTCGGTTTCAGTGATCCAAAGACAAAGACCCAATCAATACGAGATCAACATACTAAACACTAAAGTATTTATTATCGATATAATGGTTAACGCTTAACATTTACAAGCTATTCATAGACAAGTAGAAAACTCAGTCACTTAATTCGAAATGTCACCTTAATGAAACAATGATCGTACATTTTCCTCATGATTTTCGATAAACTTTGATTCACTTGCAATCATACCTAATTATTATCTTTGTATTTTCTTTTTGTGTTTAACAGGTTTTATTGGGACTTGCTAATGCTCATGTTACTGATTGCAAATTTGATTATTTTGCCAGTAGCCATATCATTTTTTAATGACGATCTCAGTATACATTGGATCATATTTAATTCTATATCCGATGTTGTATTTATTGCCGATATAGCTGTAAAGTTTCGAACTGGTAAGTTCATTGTCAAGTAGTTTAACAGATTTGTTTTGCTTAGCTCTATTAACGTTTGTTAGATAATAATTTAAACGCACTAATCTATATTCTTGGCGAAAAGCAAGATATAGGTTTCAAATGTATCAGAAGAATATAAAGCAACATACATTGAACATATGTTATGTTAGTTAACTAACAAAAAAATGTCAGAACTATGTAGAACTGATAGGTAATAAACCGATTCAAAGAAAATGTCATATCGTCATTGTCAACTGTTAACTTCTTGACTATTCATCACGACCATTTCAAACCTTTTTTAGTAGTCATTACATTAGGAATTTTCGCTTTCACCTTTATTCACATTTTATCGATCTTACCTATCGATGATACATTTGATAAAATTTATTTGTCAGAAAGAGGATTAGTGAAGATCGTAGTAATTTTAATAGTTGAGATCATGAGTCAATCTATGTTAGACCACTATTGAAAACCCAGAAGCACTGGATGGCCGTTTTGTCCTAGTATGTCACTCTCCAGCAGTGCACATCTACGATCCCGCAGAACTTTAACCTAGAACCTTCGGTCTCTCATGGGAACGCTTAACCTCTAGACCACTTGAAGAAACGGCTGTACAGTGCTTCCATGTTTTCAATGGTATTTATTTACTCAAAACATGTGATTAAGACCGAATTGTATAAAATAACTAGCAACCAAATATTATAAAACAGATGATGAAACAACTGATTAATTCATTGAATATTCAAATGAATGATTGAGGTTAAATCACAACTAGATTTATCTAAAGTACAACAAAAGTTAATAACCAACCACTATTTCGCCCTATTTATTATTTGATTTTGACAGATATGACATATACATTAATACAAAATAATTTTAATATAAACAATATTTTATACATTCTTTTATTGTTATCATATTTATGAATAATTCAAGCCTACTTTACCATTAGTAGAAATAAACTGAATGAACATATTAAATGTAATATTACAAATTATAGAAATTTCTTTTTTGGATTATAAATTTGAACTTATGAACTTAATTTAAGTATAAAAAATGAGATGAATTAGTAAATGATAACCTAACTGATTATCATTTGTTATCAGAATGTAAAAGTACAAATTTTATCGTAGACTATAAATGTGACATTATTTCTTTTTTATCAAATTGATTATAAGTTTTTCTTCAAAAATTTAACAGAATTGTAAATCAATAGAAATATAGATTATTGAAAAAGAAAAAAAACAGGTTATAAAGACGCTTCTTTAGTTGAAGGTTTCTATTATATTTTTGTGTGTTTTATCTTCAGTTACATCAATGTTCATCAGATAACAATTTACTTGCCCGCGGGGTGGGCAGAAATGTTAACTACATAACACTGTGAACTAAGTAGGTTTGCCAGCGGATACGCTATAAAGGATTCAGTGCATTTTTAAAAGTGTATACTATACTATACAATCGATTTTATCTATTTCAGTGGTTGAAATCATGAATCAATTGAAGTCAGACCACCATGAAAAAGATGGAACTTCTCAGCAGTACGCATCCACGATCCCACCTAGAGGGATTCGAACCCAGGACTCATCAGTCTCGTGCGAACGCTTAACCACTAGACCACTGAGCCGGCATCCAACGGCGTTAATGTCTTAATCCAACTAACCCACGAAATTGGTCAACACATCCACCATTGTCATCAGTGAGTCACTATTTCACAACAGACCCGTTGGTCACTGCTTTCCATCAGGACTCCAGAATATACATCTTGAAGCCAGTTACTACTGAGCATATGGTAATTAGTATCAGAAGGGGTTTTGTGGAGACTGTAGTAATTTCAATAGTTGAGATCATGAGCCACTTGAAGATAGACCATCATGGAAAACCTGAAAGCACTTGACGGCCGTTTCGTCCTGGTATGGGACTCCTTGGCAGTGCGTATTCACGACCCCGCCTTTCAAGATTTGAGCCCAGGACCTATCAGTCTTGCACGCGAGCGCTTAACCATTAGACCCCTGAACTGGTATCCAACAGTATTAATGTCTAACCTCAAAAAATTCACAAAATGTGATCGACGCATCCACCATCTATCACAATAAAAAATTGAATTTTGTAATCCATGACAGAATAAATGAGTTACTAATCAGTGTTATTTAGTCAAACAAAAAGTTTTGGTAATTAGTTTCGTTTGACCTACAATTACTTAGATGACGTTTTCAAATTACAAATTTTCTCCCAATTTCACTTGATATCTTTGAGTTTACAAAATAATGAACTGATCATTCGGTTTACTTTTACATACATTAAATACATGTATATGTACATATGTATACATAAATAATTTTCTCTATTGAACTGTTTACAGGTATTGTCACAAATGATTATGCTGATGAAATTATTTTAAATCCTAGAGAAATAGCACGTCATTATTTAAAATCATGGTTTATATTAGATTTTATCAGTTCAATTCCAATGGATTATTTGTATTTAATATTTAATAAAAAAGATCATTATAATCAATTTTTCAGTGCAGGTAAGTTTTTTTTTTGTTTTACTAAAAGCGAATAATAATGGATTTATTTCTTACAAAGAATACACATAATCAATGCATATAATGATATCTTGAAAGCAACAAAAAAAGATAGATCTCCTCGTATCTATTAGTCAAATAATAATCATATTGTAAATAGCCCCTTAAAACGATTCTAATGTTAATGTATTAATTAATGTCAACGTCAAATTAATAGCGATTTCATACGTAGTTGTGATGTTGGAAATTATTTTCATTAACTTAATATATATATATATATATATATATATATATATATATATATATGACTTCTCGTATTACGAATCTAATGCACTATTTTGAATGATGAATTCATATTCAGATATTACAATCCTAGAGAAGATTAGCCATTACTTTAATAGTTCAATCGTTACGTTTCAAACTGTAAAGCTAGATAACGTTTATCCAGATCCAGGATTTCCGTCAACTACCTTCAAGTACTTAACACATACCTAATTGGAAAACATCTGACTTTGACCACTATAATTATTATATTCATATCAAGCTTATATATACCGAACTCTGGTAATGAATGAAAAATTTCATTCTTACTTATAGGAAATATTAAAGATTTTATTGTTGAGACACATTCGAATATTTATTTTACGCTTACATAAACATCATTTTTCCAGTTTAAAAAAAGCGATGCTTAAATTATATAAATGGTTGATTGATATCGCATGATATTTAAGTTTAATGATAAACGGATTGTTCAAAGATTAAATATGCTTGATTAAATCTTCATTTTATTTTTAGATGATTTCTATCATACGGAATAAATGGTTTGCTTCTTTAAAAAAAACTTAAGTTCTTTTATTATCAAATCAAAAGACTAATTAATTAGTGTTGAAAGAGGAAAAACAGTGTGTTTCATAAATGAGGATAGTTTCCACAAATTTATTTTAAAGGGAAAACCTCCACTTTGTAATTTATTTACCTATAACGTTAAGATCGCATGTTGAGTCTGATATCATTCAATGAGATTATAATAATCCAAACGTTTTCTATTTTATTATCTTGTCAAATTGTTTTTCTACTAACGAATAATATCAATAAATATTCGTTTTAAAATCAGAAAAAAACATATTTTCAGGGTTTTATGACTCACTAGCCGTGTATTCGATACCAATCTATGACAGAACGTTTGTGGTAACCGATAAAATTAGATTAGTCCAATGTAATTTAACTATAGTACATATCGAACGATCAATGCGTTTAATAAAAAGAATTCAAGAATGTTTTTTATTATATATATATATATATATATATATATATATATATATATATATATATTAAAACCCTAACGGGTTTTTGTGTAATGTTAATATTGTAATTGAATGGTTACTGACTTTTCTAGACATCGTCTTTCACATTAACCCCAAAACTTTGAAAGAAAGTGACTTACAATGTCCTGTTCTATACACATCACTTAGACATTAACATATTTTATTTGATAAAACAAGTGTTGGATTTCCATTCAAATACTAAAAGACAATATTTCAGCTTCGATCTCTTAGGTTGCAAACACAGATATTTTTTAACTAACAAAAACATTCAATAAAAGTAATTTCAAAAATTCATACACCAAATCCAGTATGTCTAGAGATACATCAATGTGAGGATTTTAAAAATTAAATATTCTGAAATATGCTTGTTTTAACGTTTTACAGTCTTTCATTATTCGTTCATCTCTGTAGTCAAGCACATGTCTACCTAATTAATGTAACCTATTACGAGATCTATTACGGCCAGTCAACGCTCAAAAACAAGATTCTATTGTATGTTTCATGGAGTAGATGCGCTTTGTTAAATCACAACATTCATCAATATTTGTGTAAATATCTCAAGGGTATTCTTTTCAATTCAGCAGTTTAATGTAGGGTTGGATCTATAGAAAAGCAACAGTTCTTTCAACGGTGTAGATTACTTGTATCTAAGAGCCTATCATTTTTAAAAATAAATCAATTGTTTAAGGCTTTTTTCCAGTTAAGCATCATACATTGAACTTCTATTTCATAACTGTGTGGGCGTTACTATTTGATTAATAGTATTACTACTGTTTCAATTAACTGCTGTGATTGAAATCTTTTTATCCGTTTATTATTGATTGTATCAAATAATAAAAAATAAGACTAATATATTCATTTAATTACATGCCTCAAAGATACCTATTGAATTACATTGTGGGAACATACATTGTAAGCAACTACTTAATGGAGCAAAAGGGGAAAAAAATTTCATTGAACGGTAAATAGATTTCTAAAAGCAACTCAAATAAAAATATCTCAATAATTGTGAGAGAAAAAAAATAAGTTTCTCATAATAAACGTTTATGAAAAATAAGAATAGAATTTAAAATTAAATTGTAAAAGTATTACTATTTACGGGAACAAAATATAAAGTTACTAAACAAGAATTATATCAGTTATCATTTTCAATCAAGCACGTTTGAATTCAGTTAATTCGTTATCATTGAATTATACTAAAGCATTTAAGAGAGTACATAATAATCCTACAATTAAATTCACTATATTTACTATTTTAGGTCATTGAAATCAGATTATTGTTTATTTGTAAGTTAGAAAGAAGAAAACAATAACAATCGTAATCACTTCTGTCATTTTGTTCCATAGTGGTTTATTCAAAAAAATAACATGATACCAGGTAAATGTTACATGAAGACAGCTTCTAGTAAAAAAAGATTATAAATTAATAATATCACGAAAGTTTGATCGCTTGACCTAATTTCAGAATTTATTTCATTTGCTTTATCAAAAAAATGAAAAAGAAATTGGATACAGTGATGAAATCGATTAAACACTATATAATGCATTCATGATAATATGTTCATAGGTTAATTAATTGTCACATTAATATTTGGAAACAAAAACGGATTATAATAGAGTTTTTGTTTTCAAAAATGGATAAGAAAAATAGTTTTTTTTTAAAAAATAAGTAAATAATAATGAAGGCTGAAAATAATTTCTCAGAACAAAAAAAAACAAACAATTTTTAGGGCGTTCATAAAATATAATTACTGTTCTGTTAAGTTTATTACTGAAATTCAGTCAAAAATTAAATTTCTAATATATAATGACTACTAGATTATATATTTCTTATATCTACGTAAAATAAAATTTATAATAGTCATGAGTATAAACTCACATGTTTATTTATTTAAAACCTCTTAAACGTTCTTATTATTACGTCACTGAATATTGGTGACTGTATCATTGGTAAAAAATAATATATAATAGAAAAATTCAATAATCATATGAAACAATACAACTGCACCCACAGTAAAAATCCTAATAACACAGGCCTAAATATAATTCAATGATCTGCTATTTTGTAAGACAAAACATTTGAATAAATCATTATAAATTATGTTATTTATTGAGAATAATTATATCGATTTTTGGAGAAAGCAATAAAATACAATCAATGCATCGTGTTCTGTAATTATTGTCCCTCTTTCTTTGTTTTATGATTAATGAAAGTTATTTCAAAATAGCATACAGATTATAGTAATAATGAATATGAGTAAGACAACAATAAACATCGAAAAATTATACAAAACATATACAATAATTTTAAATTATTATTACTATCATCTTAGCATCATACATCTGTGAAGTGATTGCATAAATAAAACAGATTCATTTTATTTATCTATGTTCCCTGTCTTAACTTGTATTCAACACAGTTTGTTTTAAAAATTCAATTATAAATCATATTGAAAGCGTACAATATGAAACAGAGTTTACAATAAATTATCTCTTTTAGATCATAATTTATTAAATATTAATCAATAATATAAACTATAGGGATAATATCACTTGGTAATGGAACGTGTATTTATAGTTGCGTTTTTTGTTTATAGTAAAAGTGAATTTTATCATTAATCTACAAAAAGACTATCACTATATATCCTTTAAAAATTTTTTTTCACTGTTAAAGTTCAGCAATTTTTAGGTGTATTTATTGTTTACTACTTTATAAAATAAATTCAATAATTAAAAATTTATTTAGAATAAATCAATTTAGATTGTATCATAATGATCTTAATCTTTATATTTATCTGTAAGATTTATATTATTTGATTATTGATTATTTTTGGAAGATATGTCCTCAATATTGTTTATTTAAATCACATTGAATAAAATATTCCTATTGTATAAAATAAATAAGTATTTAAATGACACATATACTTACTTAAAATAAAAAAAATTGAAAACTACTGAAATAAGTAATATAAGTAGCTTTATACTATAAATTCATAATATAACAGTTGACATTACTGAGTTTTAAATGAAACTAAACTTATTTTTTAAGCAAAGATAGATAGTGGCTAGCAGTGGAATTTAGGACGCACATTCCGTCCCATTTGGGACTTGTCAGATGAATGTATCTGTATCCCAGAGTTGATGATCACTCTGTGACTCAAACCCACTAACGTTCGCTTCAAACACCATCACGTTATCCACTTAGTTACTGAGTCCTGATAGCCACCTGCTCGTACAGTGAGGTGAAGTTTAAATTCACTTGGTGTTGTTCTCTTGTATCTTCCCATTGTTATCTGTCAGAACTCAGTGGCTAAGTAGATAACGCGATGGCATTTGAAGCGAACGTTACTAAGTTTGAGTCCCGGAGTAAAAATCAACTCTGGGATGCACGTTCATCCAGCTTACGAGTCCCAAATGTGACGAAACGCGTGTCCTCGATTCCACTACTAGCCAGTATCCATCTCTGCTTAAAAACGCTTGTGACGTAAGACTTTGTCGAGATAATCAGCACAGGATGCACATATGCCAACATAAGATTGATCAATTTCAGTCCTAAATAACAATGGGAAGATACAAGTAAAACAACACCAAGTGAATTGAAACTAAACGTAGTTAAAATTTATAACACCAGTAATAATAATCAATAAAAAGTGTATGGTTTAAATCAGATTATATGTAAAACTAAGTGTCCCAGTTCTTCATTTATACAAACGGTTAAATATAGCCACTTATTTAGAACAAATTAGAAAAAGAACACTAGCCAAATCAAACAACCAATATTTAGAGAAAAGAAAATCAAAAAACCATTTAAATTTTCATGGCTTTTCTAAATATGTGATGATTTATTATTCAGAGATGCTAATCAAACAACCCTCAAGTCATCTTCATATGAACATATGAATAATACGATGTAATACTTTTCTACATGTTATATGATTATATCTTAAGTTTTTTCCAGTACTACTCTTCTGTTTTACAATGTCTATTTTCTATTTCAATCTAACAAACTGGGAAGTTTTATAAACATCATATAAAACAATAAGTTAAATCATTTACCAACTGCTTACTCATCATACAGAACAGATATTTAACATTATACAAATGTTCGTTCTTCATTTTAGTTATTTTATATCAACATATAACTGGAATTGTATAAGAGATTAAATATACATCATAACTTCAACTGAGTAAGCAAACAAATTACATGATTGAAATTAAATTTCTAAACACAGTTTATTCTAATTTTACAATATATATATTCAATCAAGAATATAAAACATTTTTTTAATTAATTCAATTATCTAAAACAGTTTGAATATGTTTATAGTATATATATATATATATATATATATATATATATATATATATATATATATATATTAAATTGTTATTTGTTTAAACCAAGTATTGTTTTTTTCTTCTTACCATATAAAATCATAGGACGTACTTTGAGAATTTTACGTTTGGCTAAATTACTAAGCATGTTACGCTTATTAAGGCTTACTCGTTTAGTACGATATGTCAGTCAATGGGAAGAAGTAAGAAATTTAAATTTATTATTATTTTATTTCGCTTTAATTTTTTTTTTAATTTCTAATTCATCTGTTAAAGTAATTAGTGCATTTTTTTTATCTTTTTTAACACTGAAAAACTTAAAATGATTGAAAGAAAAATTTCATATTAATTAACTTATAAGATTACATAATCAATTGGATAGATATTGGTATTCATTTAATCCAATTACGTGTTTTAGTTTAAATCTATATATGTATAATAAATAATTAGGTTTAATGTGTAATTGTTAACTTTAAATCACCATCCAACTAGTTATTCTTTATTGATAATATAAACATTTATTGTTAGAAGAAAGTTCAATGAACCGTTTATGTATATTATTCTTTGGTGTTAGTTATCTAGTTACATGTACATATATATATATATATATATATATATATATCCAAATGAAAAATGTTTACAAATTACTAAATGTTTTCTGTTATATACTGAAAAATATAAATTACAAATATCCATTACTATTGCATAAACATTTAGAATTCGATTTCATAACAACCTATACAGTAGAAATGTTTAGTAGCCTCAATAATAGCTTAAAAGTATTAGAAGTTTCAGCAATTATCTTCAATAGTTTGATAAATTTTCTTTTGAGCGATATATTTTTACGGTGATCACAAATTCAATTAAGTTAATGTTAAAATCCTGATTAAAAGAAATTCTATAAATGATCAATCGTGTTTAAGCTTTTAAAACTATTTACACGAAAACAGATAAAAAGTAAACGGATTAAAAACTTTATTGTATCTATCATGCAACATTTGATGTGCAAATAAATTGTTTACTACTGTAAAGAATATTTGATATGGTATTTCATGTTTTTGTGAATTAAATTTTTGAACTAACCTGTTACAACATGAGAAAAATTAGAAATTTTTTTGAAGTTATATTACTTTAGAAGAAGTTAGGCTCATTAATCTAGAATAACAGAAAATGCTTCAGCATAGGGGTGTGTGGGTAACGTTCAATGTTATTGAGATAACAAACTAAAGTAAATTAGACGATTACTGAAATGGCTGTCAAATGCCTCTGGCCTTTAGATGATTGTCTAGCTTAGGTTCATAATGGCATTCAATAATTCGCATAAACTATCTACTGTAAATCATCATGTAATCACTGGTCATTAATTTCGGGAGGAAACTCTAACGAAAAACTGGGACTAGTAGATTTCAACCATGTTAGATGTAGGCAGGGGTTATACAACAAAAACTGATAGTTGTTCACTATCGTGAACTGGTTGAAGTTAGAGAATTGTAGTCTTGAATTCCGTCTCATTGTTTCATAGGACAAGTTCTCACGCGCGAGACGAAGTACCTTATTTCTAGCCCCTATGAGTAAATCTCGAATGATCAGTAATGTGGTGTCCTATTCCAGGACAAAACAGCTGTCTGTTGTTTCCAAGTATCTGTCTGCGACTTAATTTAGACTATTTCATGATCTCAATAGCACAATACATCGTATGAAGATTGAAGTGCATTGTAGAACCATAAATATCAGATTTAAATGAGTTTGCATATTAGTAACATATAGGCAAACAAGAACATAATCACCTTCCAACACATCATTGTTTTTTTCGGCTTAAAACAATCAGCTGAAAGGCTGTAAACCAGTAATATGATGAAACCTGAAAGCGGTCACCATGACGTACCTAAATTTTGGGAAACAAACAAGTAAGTTGCAAGAAGATATTTTTGCAATCGTGCCAACTTTTATTATAATTAAATATATTTGAAAATGTCAACTGTTGTACACTTTATAACAGTTCAATCGAGTTGAGTATTAAAATACCGAATTCTGATCATGTCCCTAATTCACTGAAATAAATTTTTCATTATAAATGTAATGTACTGGGAAGAAAACTATTCTGCGGTGGATTTCAATGGATCAAACTATCGTCTTTATCTCGTTTAAATCATGAATTGATCAATGTTAGATCACCATTAAAAATCTGGAAGTACCGGACGGCTGTTTCGTCCTAGTAAAGAACATACATATAGTAGTGAGCAAGCACACGGGTGGAGACAATCGAATGTATTTGACAGAAAACTGCGGAATTTATTAACAAAATCTAACAGTCATATAGTACATGCTCAATTTGCAAAATGTCCATCACTTGTCTCAAAATGACTCAGACTTCATTGTTATTGCATTTCATACAAATTTCATTCTGTTTTCATTCTTTACTGTTCAATCTTCTTGTCTGTGTGCTGCCAGACATTCTGTTCCTGACTAACGTCATATGCTACTTATGTCGATATAAGTAGCACGCACCACACTCGTCCTCTCTTTAAAGCAGTCGTTCTTGCGGTGGTCCATGCCCACTGCGGCACATTCTTCTTTTCTACAGTCCATGCTACACCCTCCGTTGAGTGTCTGTCAAGTCTGTGGAGCGTTGACCCCCATAGCTCCGTTGACCTGCCGGGACACCAACATCCGATATCCACCCGAAGTCTACACTCCAACAGCCTCCTGATCAATCTACATCCGATATCCACCCAGCATCCTCACGCCCCACTGCTCCTCTCTGCCGACAGCACCTGTTAAAGCCAACGCCGTCCCGCCAGAGCACTTCACTCGACGCCACCTCTCCATATTAGACTTCCCTAACAAGCACCTTAGCTCCAGGCCTGCAACGGCATCCAAAGAATAGCACTCTTCTCCCTCCTGGCTGGTAGCGACACAAAAGCTACACTTTTATTTTAAAATTACTAGAATGGGCATTTGTATTATCCCTTTGAAAAAAGGATTGTTACTATCAGTTTAGTTATTATTTCAAATAAAACGAAAGAAATTTACTAAACACATGTATTCAAATAAAAATTTTCTTTCAGAACTAGCTAACATCATTTTCTCAAGCTTCTTGTTATTATACAGTTAAATAATATTGTATGACCAACTGATATAATTACATAGAAAACAAACCAATGTTTATTAAAGACCGATAAATACTCTTAGCGAATGAAATTCCATTAAGATCATTTACCTAAACCATAAATTTATTCTACCATTTCACTAGTAAATATGAAAACCAAAAGAATTAGATGAAAAAGAGTTTATAACAGAATAAATGAACATTTGTAAAGTCAAAGCATAAAATATTAAGTGAAATTATCTATTAAAAAAATAATATCTAATTTAAACAATTTAGTTGAGAATATATTCTATAAAATTTACTATATTTTCTAGTAAGAAGAAAAGTTTTATTTACTTAATCTTGAAAAGAATTATATAACTATTTCAGTAATGTAACGAGGCAATACGCACAGTATTCACATATGTCAATAAGAGACTGATCAATTGTAGTCCTAAATAACAATGAGAAGATATAAGTGAAACAACAAGTTAATTAAACCTTCCCTCCATTGTACAAGCGAGTGGCTATCAGGACTCAGTATCTAAGTGGATAATCCGATAGCGTTTGAGACGTACAGTATTGAGCTAGAGTCTCAGAGTGAACATCTGTATAATTATGGTCTACTGTGATATTAGTACTGCTCTAATAATAGACCTAATCCTAAAATTGCAGATTTATCATGATGTAACTACCTAATGTATAAGATCTTAAGTGGATGTTACATCATCGTTTACAACAACTCATTGCACTGTAACAATTACCAATACGTGATAGAGAACAAATTTAGGCTAGAGATGGAACAATATATTTAATACGAATGAAAGATACAAGATAACATTCAGCTGGGACCACGCCTGCAAAGCCGAGTCATGCCACCTGACCAACTCGTATTAATTAGGTATTTCTCCGCGTTAAATATCGAATATCTATTTTCCGAGTAGTCTCGTGTTCAGCTTTGAGGACTGTGTAGTTATGGTTCAGTGTCACTACACATCAACTCTGAAATGCATGTACATTCAGATGACGAGCACCAAATAGGACGAAACGCGCGTCCTGAAATACGAAATATTTCACAATTATTTGTTAATATATTTTACATTCAAATAATTGCTTATATTTTTCAAAATATATTAGAAATTTACATTCATTATTGGACTGTATGTTTTAATGTATAGTAAGTATATAAAGATATATTAAGTAATCATATGAAATTTGTAAAAATCTACTGAATTAAATAATAAAGATTCTTAAGAGAAGAAATCTATTTATATAAGTAGTATAATATGTAATATTTTAAAGAAAAATTAATAGGAATTTTCATTTAAATTATAGAAATATGATTTGACTTAATTAAATTTTTATAAAAAAATTTTCTTTCTACTATAGTTTTTAAATATTGCAAGCAAATTTATGGGAATATTCAATTTGGTTTTATTAATGTTATTACTTGGACATTGGAATGCATGTTTACAATATTTAATTCCTATGCTTATGGATTTTCCTCCAGATTCATGGGTAAAACGTTGTAAATTAGAAGTGAGTAATAAAATGTTTTTGTACTTTTTGTGTTAATTCAAGTGAATTTGAGAGAGTATTAAATAATGTTGATTTTGTGTGTTTTGTTTTATCAGTGAAGTATAAAATAATTTTAGGACATTTCAAAGAGTCCCTTTGCTTTTTTTATTCACTTCAAATGTATGTTTTTTTTTCTATCCGACATTATTTAAACTGTTTATAATTTGTCAATACACGTAAATTGTATTATAAATTATTGTTATTGAGAGAATTGATGAAAAAAGTGTGAATATCTTTTCTCGGCATCAATGTACTACTTATATATTTTTTTAAATCACTAATTTTTTAATATTAAGCTGGAAATCAGTGTCGGTAAATTTCTAACTAATCATATAAGTATGAACAATCGGATAGATTACTTTATAGAAGTTTGATATAATCAATATGATTAAAGCATTAATATGAAGTTTTATACTTGACTGACCTACTTAATTTTGTAATTTTAATTATTTGTTTTAATTTCAGGTTGATATTTAAGCATGTTTTAGGCCAGATTGTTTGTTAATTACACAACCATAACTTAACCTATTTTTCATATATAATTATCAAGTTCTATTGGCATATTGGTTTTGTAATGTAATGAAACAGATGATAAATTGGAAACTTTATCACTTCTATAAATGAACTGTTCATAATACTATCATTCAGTAAACGTTGGTAAACTTTTGAAAAGTAAACTCATTGCTTAGATATTTATTTTAGTTTATATAAAACTTAAAATACCTTGTAACTCACTCTATGGTTATGACGTCTGAATTGATTATTTAAAAACTGTCTGAGAAATTCATTAATGGAATTGTATGCATGTTCATTATAAGTGAATACTTATCTACTATATTCATCATTATACAAATTTGCTAGATCTTTCGTAAATTGTATTCCATCGGTCATCGCTGTAAGATAGTCATATATCTAAATAAGGATTGAAACACTGTGTTACATTCTTGAAACATAATTAAGGTTCATAATTTCACAGACTAATTTCTGTAGAAAAATACACATTTATGTTTGTTCCCAGGTTATTAATACATACTTTAAATACGTTCCAACGCTAATCTTTCCAAAAGAAATAATAATGAACATTAAATGATTTTCTAAGACATTTCAGTAATTTACATAAATAATAATCGTTTCAGCTCCATGTCTCATTAAAAGCGAAGATCGTTCATCGTTTGATGAACGTTTATTCAGACTGGTTATTTTGAAATACTAGACATTGTGTTCATATGTGAAATTTTATTATTTCTTAACAAAATGTTTTTTTTAATCTAAACAAAATGGATTAAGTACATATACTCATCAGGTATACTTAATATCCATTAGAAATCAAATATAACCATTGTACTTGTCATAACTATAGGTTCTGTTATCATAAATTCAACAAATTATTTCCAGATATGTAACCCTTTCAATAAAACAAGTTTTCGTCATCACAAAATAAAAGTGTATGAGAAATATCCTCGTTTGAAAGTTACCTAATCTGCATCTTCTAGTTAGCAAAACATGAGGGAAGTTGATTATGGAGGCTATAGAAATATATGTACTATCATAATTCAGACACTATCAGTGTTTACAATTACATAAGTTCATGTATGCATCACTGCACTATTGATGTACAAGAATATAATACATTTAAAAGCATTTACATTTTTTAGAATCAAAGACTTATCTGTTTTGTAGTAATATAAATAGAGTATCATTATCTCATCGTCCTTTTGTTTTCTGCTTTACAACGAAGTTGGTTTTTCAAATCGTTTAGAATTATTTTAATAATAAGCCATTGGTAGACAAATGATAGTACTATACATTTGATAGTCTGCTATTGATGTTGAAAACTTAACAATACCAACACTTGATGAAAATTATCATAGAGTTATCAACTACAGAAAGAATTAAAAATTTTGAATTGTGTCACTCCATTACTGTTTTGTTTAAACGAGTTTAAAAGTATAAAACTTTACAGTATTCATTTTCAGGGTAATTTCTCAGATGTTTACACAAATTTATCTTGAGAAGAACTGAATTGAATCACCTTGTTACTCTCATGATTTATGTAAAATAAAAATGCAATCTATTTAATTTTATTGTTTTCTAACTAGAATGCAGATTGGTTCCAACAATATACATGGGCATTGTTCAAAGCTATGTCACATATGCTTTCCATTGGTTATGGTCGTTTTCCTCCTACAAGTATTGGCGAAGCATGGATTACAATTGTTAGCATGATGAGTGGTGCAACTTGTTATGCATTATTTGTCGGTCATGCTGCAGCGTTAATTCAGTCATTCGATACGTCTAAAAGACTATATAGGGAAAAGGTGTGTTATGTTTGTATCTTGTTTTATAACCAATTAAATTTTTATTGAGCGATGAGGATAAACAAAGAACAAAACAAAGTCTGTGAACTGAAAGATAAAGTACTTTATATTATTTTGGTAATTTCAAAATTCCCATAAAGTAGTCTTTAGAAATAAATATTTTTCTGAAAACAAAGTGTTCAACAGCTTCACCATGATGGTCTACAATTAGTTAAAAACTGAGATTGTTTAGTTTTTGATAAGGTGTTGGCTAACTACGAGTTCAGAACAAATAACGCTATTTATTGATTTAATGAGATTTATTCTCAACTATCCTACAACACAATCACCAATTATATACGATAAACCTCATTAAAACGAACTCGATAATCATAATTGCATTTCGCCTATTTTAGATCATATTCACATAATTTATTTCACAACATTTATCATAACTCGATACTTAACAGCTCATTTTTCCACTCCCTCTGAAATGATCTTTTAAATTTACAGATGACAAATTTGAATATATTATTTTGGGCGTAATCAATATCATAGTTCACTATCTAAACAAATGTTCTTATAAAATTCAATCACATTATAATTATGTATGCTTCATTTTCGTCACTGTAATACGATAGTTACGAATTTATAATTGTAGAGCATCATGGTCAAGTTACTGAATCCATAGTTCACTCAAATAAGCCTTCCTTTCAAAATATATTTACTAACGTCTATATATATATATATATATATATATATATATATATATATATATATATATATATATATATATATATATATGTTAATTACGATCCTGCCGATACAAATTTCACGTGAGATGATCCTTGACTGATAAAATAATTATTATTACAACAGACTTACAAGAAAATGATTGGACAGATTGTCGATCTGAATGAACAAAATAGAAATATTTAGTTATTTTATTATCAAACTGTAATTTTTTTATGCATTAGTGTAATTTAAAATTTTCAAAATCAATGAAAATTACGGAGATCGAATGAAATCAAATGAATTTGTGGAATTTGTTGAAATTACACAAGAAAAAAAAGAGAGACGGAGAGAGATAAAATTCTATAAACAATCAACAAATTAATTAATTTACATTAAAAATATTGTTAATTTTCATGATTTCACCATTCTGATGTGAAGGAAAAAAACAAACAAACAAATTTGTGGTAATGAATATTAATGAACACGTTTGATGCAAAAAATATTTCATCATTAATAAGATTTCAGTTGTTCTTTTACATAGCTTGTTTGACAATTATAAATATTATTTTAATTGTTGAATTCATGTGTTGATCTAAGCTAAATCATTATTGAAAACCTGAAAGCACTGGATGGCTGTTTCATCCTAGTATGAGACTCTTCAGTAGTTTACGTTCTCGATCCCGCATGTTGGACTCTAACCTCTAGACCACTGAACTGGCTGGTACCCAACGTTGTTAATGTATAACTTCAATCGATACATAATCTTGCGCAACCCATCATTACAAATATACTAATAAAGACAGTTTCATAATAACTACATATGAAATCTGTAGGATAATATAACTTAAAAATTCTAAATAACAGTGTTTTTTGTATGATCCAAATTATTGGATAAATTAAATAACCATAGTAAATTGATCACGAAATGATAAAATTAACAGCAATAATATAAACTGAACAATAAATCGAATAGAATTTTGCTATGGATATGAAAGAAATGAAATGATCATTTTTTCCTGATTTAAGATGATACTTTATGAAAGTATTAAGAAGTGATGGACTACTACTACATTTATGTAAACAGACTTCAAATTAGAATAGTTAGATTTACCACCACACGAATGATTCGGCAATCAAGAAGACTTTTGTTTAAATATATATTATAAACTCAACTATTTGACCTCATAATACGGGGTCACGATTTGTAAAAACATTACGAATCAAAAAGAATATCAAGAAATTGTGCAGCCTAGGAGGATTTGGAAATGCTTTCTATGAGATTAGCGGTTTAATTATGAAGTTATTATTCTGTTCCTAGACAACGTCATCGAGATGTACGTCAGATAGAAGTAAACAACTGGAATTTCATTACGAGTCACTGAAAGCTTGTTTTGTCAAATGTAATTCAATTGGTTATTGTTTTTTCATCCTTTACACATCATTTCAGATTGACTTTTTCATTGAATTATTTGTTGGCTCAGTTCTTTCTGGTTTCTCTGACTCAAGTTATAAGACATGTAAACAACTGTGGAGACATATTTGACAGTTTTCACTGTCAAATCCTAATAAGGGATAACACAAAGAGGATCAAAGTTTTTATAAACTTCCTAATCAGGTCAGTCACAGTAAATGTACTGAAATAACTCCAAAAATTAAAAATTGACCTAAATTAATGTGAACTAAAATGTACCAAATAGGTCAGGAGATTCAGGGAGAAGTTCAGTGATCATATGAATAACAGCTAGATAATACTGGATGTCTAAAATACAATATTGAATATTTTCTTGATTTACTTGCTTACCAAAATCCAATTACTGAATTACAAACGACAATTTAAAAATAATGTACTCAATGAATCACTCATTGACTAAGTTATTGCTTACACGTTTTTATACGAACTTTTTCTTATTACTTAACAAACTAAACGTTTTGAACGCTAGTAGTATAACTGATAGATGCTAATATAGGAATTTAAGTGAATCATTATCTCTATGATTTACACAAACAACACAATTAACAAGGGTTTTATTACGCTAGATATTTGAATGGTTAAGTTATCAACTAGTAGACTTGCGGTTCAAATCCGATTTACGATTATCTTATTGTGGAGTCATGTTTTAATCACGTGTTTTGAAAATGTTATATACAATAGTACCAAACAATAAACACTACTTATATTTTAGAGCCTAACTTAAAATAATAGTACATTAGTCAAGTTTGTTTTTATTTTAATCTTTGGGACTAATACTAGAAAAAAAAACACATATGGGAATCATTTAAAAAATATACTATTTTCTTTAAAGATATATCATACAATGAATGCTACCCAAAGATAAATGCTTGAAAAGAGATTAGATGAACTATTTCCAAGTGTTTATATAAATATTTATTCCATTATTTAAAAATAAAAAAATAACATTCTTCAAACATATGTTCTTCAATATGTGTTAAACAAAATTAATACTAAAAAAAATTTCAGATAACAAAAATAAAATCACATATCTCTTTTTTTTTCTCTATTTTCAGAAGCATAAACAAACGGTTTATTCTTGTTGTGTTAATGGTTCCAAAAATATTTTGTCTACCATTAAATTTAAAATATATATTATATCCTTCAACAAGAATAGTTTATTAGGGCAATTATTTTTCATTGAATGATATGACATGAGATCTAATTTTTCTATGTAAAAATGTTGTAAACAATAATCATATTTTAATGAAATTGGCAGTTACCAAGTATTCGTTGAAATGTGTTCCTTTTTCATTATATAACTCAAAGAAATAAGATGATTTTGACAACAAAAAAAGAAAACTCACATCAAACGAGAGCTAAGAAACACTCACTTTAATACTCAACTTTAGATTATAAAATATTTTTTTAACTTGCAAATACATGTGATGATTTATAAGTTTCATTAAATCTATATCATAATGTAAACACATAAAGAACTATGTTAAATTTGAGTTTGAGATTTTGACTGTTACTGGGTTTTGCAATGGTAAATAGTGGAATAGGTATAGCCAGTATTCTATCATACGGAAGTGTTTAAATTCCAAAAGTCAACTAAGTTGTGGTTTACTTAATCTTTTCTAATAGCTCACATTGTTTAGTTATGAACAAGATGCCTATATGCAATCTTCGAGTCGTGGGCTAACAATTACTAAATATAATGTCATGAACGTCGTGATGATTGCTAGAGTCTGTACAATGTATAATGTGTTTCATTTGATGACTAATGATTACCCCTAGATCACTGTGTATCTAATCAGGAGGTAACTGCTTAAATCATTATGTATTCGTTTTCACCTTGATTGGCGATACGCATCATAAAGCAATAGAATACATTATCTGACAAATGACGAACTCTTTTGTCTAGTTATTCAAATTTTCTTATTTTCTGAACTTTTTGAATCTTCATTACGTCGGATTGTAAATAAAACTGAATTTTATACTTTTTCTGTCATTCTGTTCTGCCACTTTCACCAGTGTAAAAAAATACTGTATTAAGATCTTAAAAGTTTGTTACATGAAATAATCTCAAAATGTTACCAATGAAACCGTCAATTTTTATTGTGTCGGTCCCATATATCAAGTAGGACTTAAACAAAGATTATTATATTCAATTGTAAAAGTTATAATATTAGAGATTTATAGGTCAGTCATGTGTGATTTCTACATATATATTTTATAAAATATCAGTGGTACAACATATTTCCACTGGTTCGGCTTTAATTTATTAGTGTAGTACACTTTTAATACCGTTGATGTGATTTCAATCAATGTGAGTTGTCTTCCTGAATATTTATATTCCCAATCTTGCGTTTTTTGTTAATTACTCCACTAAATCAACCAGTAAACATTTTCTCTCCCTAAACTACCAAACTTGAAAAAGGATCGGATTTATTTTTAAATTTGGTACTATTATTAATAATAATAATATTGTTAAATATGATATTCTTATGAGATTGCACTTATAAACAAAATTCCATTTAAATATAACATAGTTTTGAAGAAGAAGAAGAAAGAAAGAAAAACATTCAATCGAAATCTAGGAAAAGAAATCTTTTATTAAATCTACATTTACTTACCTTCTATATTTTTCCGACACCCGAATTATATTAAATTACATTATATAAATAAAATTTTCTATTACATTTTGACAATTAAGAAAAAGCAATAAATTTTTTTGTAATCACAAAATTTCTACATGACTAAAAGTTCTTTATTAATTTGTCTATTCATTCAATGTAATTACTTTTAAGTAATAATAATAATGATAATGATAATAAATATAATAATAGTGATAATAATAATGACAATACTGATGATAGTAACGATAATAATGATAAATATAATAGTAATAATAATGGTAATGATAATAAGGACTCTTTAATACGAAAATTAACTTTTCATAAATACCAAATTATTTCGATTAGTTTTTTGGTGTTGTTGTTAAGAAACATGTTGTGAAACAGTTGAAAATGTTTAGTTACTTAGTATAGAATAAAATTGAATATATGTTTATATATGTATTCAAATAAATGTAAATTTCTGTATAATTAATACCTAAAGCACTTACTACATGTTATCTACAAAACATTCAGATAATATATTATCTTATTAAATGAATGATTTATAAGGTCATACAATTCTTTAATTAATTGAGATAATAATAATAGTAATGGTATTGTTTTATACTATTTTATATCAAGTTCAAAAAATTCTACCTCAAGTAGTTAGATTACGGTTACATAATTTTCTAATTTGTTGTTTTTTTTTCAAATTATTGCCAATACTTTGTACAATATTGTTTTTGATTCAATCCTCATCAGGATTTACTCTAATATACAGTAATATTTATATGCATATACGAAATTTTCAGATCAATCAAGGCAGTTCATGAGTCAATGATAACAATGAAAACGATTACATAATAGTTGAAAAGCACAAATTAATAGTGTGATGACAGATGTATTAGTTTTGATAAGAAGAATAATAAAGGCTCAAATCAATTTGTACTTTTCGCCTATTATGTAATCGTTTTCATTGTTATCATTGACTTATGAACTACCTTGATTGGTCTAATAATTTCGTATATGCATATAAATATTACTGTATATTAGAGTAAAGCCTGATGAGGATCTAATGGAGAACAATATTGTTCGCTTATATATGTTGTTCTAAATTTACAATATGGATAATAAAAAGCATCATAAACAACTAATTTACTATTGTAGGGATTAGTTAAAGTGAATATTTCATAGAAGTGTTAATTGTTAACAAGATTCAAAAGTTTATTTTGATAAAAATAAATTATTTATTATAAAATGATTTGATTGTTTCATGTTCATCTCGCTTTTTTTCTTTTGATTATTTATTTAGTTTAAACAAGTTGAAGAATATATGGCTTATCGTAAGCTTCCAAGAGCATTACGTCAAAGAATAGCAAATTATTACGAACATCGATATCAGGGAAAAATGTTTGATGAGGCACAAATATTGAATGAGTTTTCTGAATGTCTAAGAGAAGTAAGTCCAACCAACACTTTTTAGATCTTATTACTTAAAGGTGTCAAGTTTCTAATGATCTTGGACGAATTTCAATCAGTCTTAGATGAAATACATACATTCTGTGCGTATTGCCTCAATGACGTCAGTATTCACAATTTTTTATAGAATAAACGGAATCCAGAACTCGAATTTCAGGTCATTTAGGACTCATCAGGTTAATGAGCATGAATTCTCGAGTATGTGTTCACACAAAATAATTAAATCAAGACAAGTTTTACACAATGTACATAGGTCAACTTATGGTTGATGAGAATTCACTGAAAAACGTTAACAACACGATAATCCAAAAGCGATTAAAAATTAATTTAGGAATAATTTCCGCTACATGAGTGAGTGAGGCCATTCGAACTCATTAGATTTTGAATAACTAGTCGACTGGTAGGAACAAAGGGTAATATGTTTTATTCCAGGAGTAAACTTCAAATCTGAGATACAGATACATAAAGCTGACGCGTTCTAAATAAGATAAAACACACGCCTTCAATTCTACTTCTATCACAATCTATATATTCCAAAATACCAACCTATTTACATTGACAACATTAAATTAGGATTTAATAGAGTGATTAGTCTATCTAAGCTTTAGTTTATACTTTCGTTTAAACGTTCTCTTTAACTCCTGTGACACACTAGATCAAATTAATTACTTTACATGATTTTGAAACCTGGTCACTGCAAACTTATGATGAGGTAGTTTCACATTTTGAATTGTTTCTCAGTTTATTAATGAAGATCATTTTAAATATAAGTACCTAGAAAATGAGATATGAGGTAAAATAACTGTCTAAATGAATTTCTATTACCTGAGGTAGACATAACTATAGAACATCAAAGTTTGTTTTACATTCAACAGTAACTAACTATTAGATAGAATCGACAATTTTCAACCGAAAATTTTGTTTACATTATATGGTTGAAGTGGTAAATGAATGCTTGCAATTATTTTTCTATAGGATAACTGTGTTTCAGTTAAATGAATTTGTTTAATCGTTTGATGTTAGAAAAAAAACGAGAAATGCTGTTATTTGAATTATATGGCTTTAGCGTATAAATAGTACAAAGATTAATTGTTCTTAAAAAAAATATTTTTTTCTAGTTCAGATTAAAACAAATACATGTACATATACTAAAGTGTATCAGCAGTACATTTTGTTGCCCTGAATTAATTCACATAGATTTCTATCCATTAATTTTATCAAAAATACTCATGGTACTATTCTATTGATCGACATTCTTGTCAGTTTTTTTATAAAAAGAATACAATCGTGTTATCAATTGACATTTAGCAGTAAGGTGTATTCATATTTCAATAATTAGCAAATAACAACTTGATGTTGAGTCACCTAAATTAGATGGTTCATCGTAACCTCAAAGTCAAAATTAAAGATTCATAACAATTATATTGCATAATACTCTTCAAATGAATAAGGTTAATAATGAGTTAAAATTTCAAGTATTTTTAACTGAAATACCGATGGTCCTTTTTAAAGATTATGCTTATAATGACTGTAGTTAGATTATTGTTGTATTTTCATAAACTAATGATTCTTCTGTACTCGATTGCACGCTGATTACGATTTCCAAATGTAATATGTTAATTCGTCCTCATCTACTCCTATCTGTCTTGAATTGCACTAGTTATTCCATTAATTCTAATACTTCTAACTATCAAACGAATTAAATTCATGTGTCTGTCCTGCTGTGTATTGAATGTAGATTCTGTGTGATCTCGACTGCACTCATTAGCATTAGAATTAACAACTGAAATTGGAACAGACTCACCTGGTTCCTGGAATGGTATTTGACTGACATGTCGGTTGTGTGTACTGAAATTACACCATAGATTCTTTACCACAATTCCCGTGGCAAGTCGAAGATCATCTCCATGATAAAATGTGACTTTTGCAAACTCTAAGCACCTCATAAACGAACGGAGAATCTTTCCTTTTAATAAATGTGATGCAGTCTCTTTTGTTACAAAATGTTCAGCATCTATATATTACAGTAGAAATGTGTCTAATACTCTTTCGAATCCGTCAAATGTTGAAGAAGTGATGGAACTAATAGCAGTTTATAACATCCTGACGAAGGTTTCTGCCTGACCATTATAACAATGGTACCTAAAAGCAGTGAACAGATGCTTGCACCATATATCTTTCAACCAGGTAGTTACTTCGTCCGAAGTAAAATGGGAGCCATTATCAGTCACTAACACCATAGGAATCCCTTCTTGACTAAACACCCTTATTAATGCTTGGATTGTGAAGTCAGAATTTAGTGAAGTTGTGAAAGAACTTTAGGTTACTTCGAAAAAGAATCGATGACTACAAGTGCATATTACTGCCAAGAAATGGACAGCAATAGTCTGTATGACATCTCTGTTAGACCACAGACGATACTGGTCATAGAGTCCACTTCGAAGGCTGACTTTTCGACTTATGATATTTTCCACAATTGTTTGCTGTACGACATATATTTGCATTTATCTCTAGCCACCAACAAGTGAGACTTGCCAAGGACTTCATTTTCTCAACATCTAAATGTCCACTATGAAGATCTTCAAGGACAAATTTACGCAATGAAGGAGAAATAGCAACACGATCATTTAAACAAAAAATACCATCAGGAGTAGTGGATAGCTCATTACGCTTTGAGAACTTGACAGGAAATCTAGGTTTCAGATTAGCATTCGAACTTTTCCGTATGTCATTGAGTATACATCCAAAATATCTATGAGTTTCTCTAATGAGATCTGGACGTCTCACTGGCAAAGATAGCATTAACAAACAGCCTGAAGAATAAACATGTCTATCTTGTAATGATTGTTGAGAAATGAAGTCAGCGTGTTGAATTTTTTTGGCACTCCTATGCTGAACCGTATAGTCATAAACACTCAAAGCAATACATCATCGTTGAATTATAGCAGTTGAAGAATGTGTTCAAGATTTTTCAGGATGATAAATAAACTTTAAAGCTTCATGATCAGAAACAATAGTGAATTTCTTTCCGAATAAATATTTATGAAGTCTTTTAACAGCCCAAAACACAGCTAATGCTTCTCGCTGAGTTTGTGAATAACCTTGTTAAGTAACAGTAAGTTTGCGTGAGACTCAGATAACTGGTCTACCTTCCTGCTCCAAAACTGGGCCAATGCCCACAGGTGATGCATTATTAATAAGTATAGAATGTACACCATGTAATTTTGAAGAATAACAATACTTTGAAGAAACTTTAGTAGACTTCGTAAGTTTGACTCTTGTTCCTCAACCCATTTGAATGAATTGGATGTCGAAATATTAAATAAACAATCTGTACGACGAGAAAAGTTAGGAATAAAACGGGAGTAGTATTAAGAGCGCCTAATAGTGAACGTAGTTCCGTAAGATTTCTCGCAGATGGTTCATTTGTTAGTGGAACTAGTCGCTTTATATCTGGTTTAAAACTGTTACCCTCAACTAGGTACCCAAGATATTCAAAACTGGATACACAAAACGAACACTTGATTGGATTTACCATTATACTCTTCTCAACTAAACGACGAACTGTCGTATATTCAGATAAGACGTCTATAATCCCATTGTTTTAATTTATCAACAGGAGCTTCATAGATTTAGTCACTAGTTATCTTGTCAAGTTAGATATTAATTTACTGACGATTTAGCTTTAACTACACCTGATAATGAATTCGAAATTCTGTTTAATATTAAAACTACTTATGATCGTAAAGGTTATCATCACTAAGTGATATAATTGTCAAGTGCATTATAGAAGATACAATCAATAAATCAGAATACAGAAGCCTGTTTATCTCTTTCTAAATAATAATAGTATAATACTGAATAAGTATAAGTACTGGACGAAATTACTCAATGATACAACCATTATAAAATAAAGACGTTCGTGTATGCTGTTTTGGTGCACAACTGCACAATCATTTAAGTGAACTATTCTTGTGAGGCCCTTTATATTGTCGTCATTTAGATCGGACGATGTTTGTTGACGGGCTCTCCACTTTAGCGGCCCGAGATCTGACTCCAAGTAGATCGTATGAATGTTAATGCCTATTCACGTATATAATCATCGACTTAGATGGAGTTAGTCAATTACAGAATTAAATAAGTCAAATAACGAGAATGAATTTTTGAATACATATATTTTGTTTATGAAGCGAATGGAATAGTGAGAAACGAAACGACGCGTAGTGGAGATGGCGGGTAAGCCGACTCCCATTTAGTGCTGAGAATTCTATATTGTACCAAAATATAATATTGAATAAAGCCATAAATAAATAAATAAAAATAAATAGTCAAGCGTTAATCAATATTTATAGTCACATAAAAATAAGTTACATACATGTGCTGAATGGGATAAGAAATGTACACACACATATGTGCTCATAAAAAAAGCAGTCAAGATTAGTAAGCGAATAATTAACAAGGTCAAAATATGACTCAAGTAGAATTAATAGATTGGGTTGTCCGAAAGCTAGAATAAGGCATATGGGCTTAACATAACAACCGACACTACATTCTCTTTAGACGATTTGATAATTGCAATATCTATGCAATATAAATTCATGTATGGACATTACTTTAGAATTCTAAAGTAGAACAAAATAGCTTTCCATCACTCATTAAAATAAAGTTTAAGTCACATTTATATTGAATACTCTAATTTTATTGATTTTAAGCTAACATTCGCTGTGATAAAAACTAATAAATATTATTTCAGTAGTTGAGATAATGAGTCAATTGAAGCTAGACCACCATGGAAAACTTGGAAGCACTGGACGGCCGTTTCATCCTATTGTGGTATTCCTCCGTAGTGCGCATCCACAACCCTGCCTTGCGAGACTCGAACCCAGGGCCTATCAGTCTCGTGCCAGGCGCCTAACCAGCTAGACCACTGAACTAGCATTCAATGTTGTTAATGTCTAACTTCAACTAATCCACGAAATTGAGCGACACATTCACCATTGTCATCAATGAGTTACTATCTCATAACTGACCTGGTTAAACTTCACTGGTCCCTGCTTCAATTGACTCATGATCTCAACTATTGAAATTACTACAATCTCCAAAAAACCCCTTCTGATACTAATAAATATTATTTTGACGAAAGAAAAAACATACATTATAAAGCATTGATTTAAATGTACACCAATAGTGTTGTTAATTGTTTAAAACTTACATAATTTTAATAGAAATTAATAAAACATTTTAATGATCTAATATGAGAACATATGATATGATAAGATATTAATATTGTATCTGATCATAAATAATCTTGAACTGAACTATTTATTAATCATTCAAAAAACAAATAAAGAATTCACTTATAAACTAACATATAACAATGATCTTATTGTTAAGAACATAAAAGAAGAATATCATTTTACTCCTTTTCGTAATAATTATTCATATTCTTTGTTTCTTTTCCTATAATATTAAGATTTCTTTAACCGTTTCTTGAATAAAATCTAACTTAATAAAATTATATATTTTTAAAAAAATAATTATTATTAAGACAAAACTATCCTATTAGCACTGGACAGAAACAAAACAGTTTTAGGGGGCAAAAAAAACAGTAATGAATTATTGTTCTTAATAATAAAACTAAAAGAAGAATATTTCACCTTAAACTTTTCTTCTTTATTCATGTATATGTCCTATTCAAGTCATGATATAATAGGAAACGTTCTATGATAAATAATAATAATGTTCTTTACTCTCAATCTAATTAAACATTAAATGACTTTTAATTATTAAAGAAAAAACTAGAACGACAAAATATATTACTTAAATCCTTTAAATGAAATCAATATATGTTTTAAATGTGGATGTGCGTTGTTGTCGAGAAAAAAACAACAAAAAAACAACAACAAAATAGTTCATCATGTCAGCTTTATCTCTTTAAAAAAATAAATAACAATAACATGAATAGAAATTGAATGATGAACTAGAAAAAGAAACGATTTATTTTATTCTTTATATAAGTACACCTCTTTGATGAAATGAACAACTTAAGTAAGAAAAAAGAAAAAAACATGAAGGGAAATTAAGTTTTCCTTTTTTTCATCTTGATACTTTCTATTTCTCATCCGTTTTTTACTTTAGATTGGCCTAATGATGTTCTTAATTACTATTTGATTTTTTTTCTTCAATGAAATCAGTTTTGATACTAAGCTTTATCCGATATTACTAATGAAAGACAATTAGAAATAGTTATTTCTCAACAAATTATATTCGACCGCTTATATATTACTTAATTGCGTAGATTCATAATATATTTGAAATTTTACTGCTAAAAATCTCGTTCAAATCAACATAAATTATCAATCTACACACAAACAAATGTCTGAAAGATTAAGTAGAAACCATAAAGCATACTTTTTGAGGTTGACATTTTTCTCAATAAGAATTGAGATTATTTTATCACACAGAAAATGTCGAACATTAACTACATTGTAAACTACATTCAAAGAAAATAATAAGTGTGATCAGTTTTCTTGGATGTCAAGTGATTTCTTTCCTTGATTTTTTGGTTTCTTTCTCACCTAGAAGATTTTCTACATGATTAATTTCTTAGGGCCTATACTTTTTGTTCATTATTCAATGGTTAAACAGGCAAAAACTTCAACATGTTTCTTTTCACCGTAAAGAATTTCAAGTAGAATTTGGAAAAGTCGATTATCCAAGGCGTTTTAAAATACCAAAATTACCAGGCAATGTATGAATGTTTTATCACATTAGTTCAATGTAGCATAATTTATAATCCTGCAATTGCTTGATGGACAATATAGAGAAGTTTGAGCTTTGTCTTATTGCATTGGCAACTTACTTACGCCTGTTACCCTTCGTATAGGAGCATAGGCCGCCCACCAGAACTATTCCTCTAACTTTGTCTTAGGCAATCCTATCCAGCTCTTTTCAGTTGCTATTCATTCCTTTCATACCTACTTCAAATTCTCAGCGAAATGTGTTCGTTGACCTTCCTGTTTTCCATTTCCCTTCAGGATTCCAAGTTAGCGCTTACCTAGTGATTCCATTTGATGATTTTCTCAACGTGTGTCCTACCCACCTCCAGAGTCTTCTCCTAATTTCCTCTTCAATTGAAAGCTAGTTTGTTTTCTCCCACAGTAGGCTTTTACTCATGGCATCCGGTCAATTGACATTGAGTAACCTGCATAAACGACTGAGATGGTGGAGAAGATTTGTAGCTCAGGTGGATGATTTTGATGGAGTTTTGTTCTCTGAGCTCAGAGAACAAAAGAATGTAATTGATATGTTGCACATTTTCGACACCATGTAAGTGATTTTTCTGCTGATAGATCAATACAACATTGTGAATTCATTTAGTTACCGTACAAATAATATGTAAATGTTATAGTCGGATAACAACACACTAAACAAGTCATCATCTTAATTTTTCAGTCTATTTTATTACTAGGATTTTGTTCATTATAAAAATTCATGACAGAATTAACGTTACCATTGTTTCCCACAAAACTATACCTAATAATTTGAACAAATATCTTCCATGTAATTTTCTATAACAGAAAATCTCGTACGTACTCATTATTCATTGTCCTTTCTTTTCTATTTATTTAAAGCAAGTTATCAATTATAATTGTCGTGCCTTAGTTGCAGCTGTTCCATTTTTTACATATGCTGATCAAGATTTTGTCTCAGAAGTTGTTACAAAATTAAAATTTGAAGTATTTCAACCTGGTGATTTAATAATTAAAGAAGGAACAATCGGTAATAAAATGTATTTTATTCAAGAAGGTATTGTTGATATTATAACCAAAGATGGTGAAGTTGCAACAAGTCTTTCAGATGGATCATATTTTGGAGGTAAACTCTATGTTTAACATGAATTTTTATTACAAAAATGAAATATTAAATTATGTGAATAAACAACTTCAAATAGATAACTGTTATAAAGAGATAATCTTCAAATGATCCACATATGCCAATAAAAGATTAGTGAAGATTCAGAAAAATATACGAAAAGAGATAGTCGGTAAACTATTAAAAAGTAAATTAGAATTCTAGACTAGTACACGAGTAAACGGCTATCTGAACTTAATGGATCAGTGGATAACGAGTTAAGTGTTAGGAAGGGAGGATACTGTATTCGATTCGTGGCGTTTACTTCAAATCTGACGAGCTGACGAGCTCCATCTAGATTAAAATGAGCATTTTGAATTTCACTGATAACCATAATTCATCTGTTACTCCAATCTTCAATCGCTTCTACATTTTCATTATCAAGCAATTGTCGTATATGATTCAACTGCCTAAATTTTTTATCAATCAGTTGACACAGAATTTATACTCTTTTTTAATGGTAGGAGTGTTAGAATTTAAAATGCTTGTTTGGATATTGTAATTTGTATTATTGAAATGTTTTATTTCTCTGTATCTTGAAACTCAGTTATTAGTTTAGGTCCTTGTATTTGTTATATTTTACAAATATACTAAATAGGAGAAACTGTAATTTTGACTGAACAATTAGTAACCAATCAACTTAAAAGATATTTAAAAGAATATTTTATTTTGAGAAGTTTCATTAGTGTTGATCTAAGTGTATATTTTTTCACATGAACCAGCAAACTGTATTCAGATGATACACGTCATTATCTATTAGACAACGCTTAACAAAGACGAAATATTCTTAATGTATATAAACCGATATGACAAATCAGAGAAAAATTAATTTTCAGCCAGTGCAAATAAAAATACTGTTCATATACTTCAACCTATCTAGAATGATTGATATTTATGAAGCATGCTTGTAAAAAAATATCAACAAATTTTTACTATGTGTATAGGACTGTCGAAAAATAATCGTTTGATTAAGACAAATAAATAACTTCAATAGTTGAGATCATGGGTCGATTGGAGCTAGACCACTATAGAAAACCTGGAGGCACTCGACGGCCGTTTCGTCCTAGTATGGGATTCCTCAGTAGTGTGCATCCATGATCCCACCTCGCGAGATATGAACCCAGGACCTACAAGTCTCGCACGTGAACGCTTTATCTCTAGACCACTAAGCTGGTAGCTAGTGGTGTTAATGTCTAACTTCAACTAATTAAGCGGCACATACATGAATGCCTTCAGTGAGTTACTACCTCACAACAGATGCGGTCGAAATCCACTGGTCACTACTTCTCACTAGAACTTCAGGAAATGCCTCTCGAAGTCAATAACTAGTGAGCACATGCCGATTAATATCAGAAGGGGTTGTTTTGTAGATATCATAGTAACTTCAATCGTTGAGATGATAAGTCAATTGGAGCTAGACCATCATGAAAAACGGCCGTACAGTGCTTCTAGGTATTCTGTGGTGGTCTAGCTCTAATTGACTGATGATCCTAATAACGAAATTACTATAATATCCACAAAAGAACCCTTATGATACAAATAAATAAATAAGTTGTACAAGTTCGAATTAATTCTACTATTTAGATTTCTATGGATATCTGAAGAAGTGGTCTTGAACTTTTCAGAATAAATATTTCTCATTATAATATTCTATAAGAAATAAATCTGATCAATCGCGGGCTATCTGAAAAACAATCGGTAAACAGAAAGAGAAGTGGTACGACTAATTTTTACTAATTCTTGCTATTAGGAGTGCAACATAATAATGAAATGATATATAAACTGAAATATCAAAATTTTCCCTGTTCATGCAACAAACGAACGTTAACATTTGTCGCCGTAATGGTTAAATTTTACAATTTCTAAATTTAAAGGAATGATAGTGTGTAAAATTAAACTGAAAACGGATTTTAATCCATATATATCGATTATTTGGATCTTACCATTAATATTTCGGACTTAAACTGATCAGTCTCTTTTTGGTATATGTGCATCCTATGCTAACCGATGATTGCGGATAGCTAAATGGATAATGCTATGGCGTTTGAAGCGAACGGTAGTGGGTTCGAATTCCTGAGTTAACATAAACTCTGTGATGCAGGCACACTCAGACAATGAAACGCGCGTCCTGGATTCGACTGGTATCAACCATCGATCTCTGCTTAAAAGTTAATATCACCTAGAGTGTTATAATACATATTTATTCTGTGATCCACCATATAAAATAATAATATATCCTAACCTGCTTCGCTTGTTTTTCAGGTGATGACTTATTTCTTGCTTCTTTTAAAATAGTAGATATATAATTTATATATGTTACTTTTAATTATTTTCCTATATATTTACTTTAGAAATTACATTATTAACTAATACACGTCGTACAGCCAGTGTTAAAGCTGTCGTTTATTCCAATCTATATTCATTGGATCGAGAAAGTTTTCTATCAGTATTAGAAAATTATCCATTAATGCGACGTACTATGGAATCAGTAGCAGCTGAACGATTAAATAAAATTGGTCAAAATCCATCGATTGTTAGTAATCGTGAAGATTTAAAAGAAGATTTAAGTTTAGTTAAAGAAATTGTCAGTTCAGCTGTTACACCAGAAGATAGTTCTAGTGGACCTGAAACAGAAAATGAAGAAAATCAAGCTCATTTAAATCTAAAACAATTATTAAAATTTCGTAAACGTAAACCATCTAATCGTAATAAATTATTTGATAACACTGTGACAAAGTTAGGTCAAACAAATGAAGAAGATGAAACATTACAAGATACTGAACGTAAATCATCATTTGTTGAAATTACATCTGTAGATAAATTGAAATTACCTAAATTTATGCGACAAAAACGTAGTGCATCAAATGTTTTTACAAATCTAACACAAAATTTACCAAATTTATCAAAATCTAAAATTATACCAGAAAATTCCAATGAACGTGAAATCAATAAATGTAAAGAATCAGATTTACAACCATCAGAAAAGGATAGTTCAAATACAAATGTAACAAATTTAGAGTCTAGTAATTTAAATCCCAACTGTACTACTATCACTATAACTAATTATAATACTGATGATACTGATAATAATAGTAATACTAAAATTATCAATAGTAATACAGATATTATTCAAAAATTATCTTCAAGTGATATTTCAGATGTAGACTCCTGTAAACACTAACATGTAAAATCGCTCATCTTGTGCATTTATATATATATATATATATATATATATATATATATATATCATTATTCCTCGGTCACTTAAATTGACAGATTCATTATACATACATATGTTTCGCATCATAATACATCTTCATAGTTCATTTTATAGATTCATTCAATTCATTTCACTCCATAAAATTTAGTAAATACATGGATATTAATATAATCTTTAATTATTGTAACCATAAAGAAATAGTTACTTCATCAATTACCTCATAGACACAGTGAATGTACATACCTATCACTATTTTTCTGAATAGATTTCAATTAAAGATTTATTAGCAAACATTAAAAATAATAAAAGAAAATATATGAAAATGAATCATTGTATATTTCTTTTTTTTTATTTCAAGGTCACTAATCAACTAAATCAATTGATGAAAATAATTAGTTAATTTATTACATAATATACAATGATATAATTAATTTCTAAAATACAGATTGAGATTAATTTACTTGTAATCATTAAATATATGTTTAATTACATAAATGTATATTTTTTGTCTTGTTTTGTTTTTTTGCATTTTCCACATCCATAATTTGAACATTGTAACTATGGATAAAAAATTTTTTTGCTTTTTCAAAGACCTAACAAAGCAGATTGATTGAATTTATGAAAAATATTGAAAACATTAAAAAAAAATGAAATATTCGATTTTCTTTAGTCACTCCTATAAGTAGTTAGGCATTCTTCGATCCACCTCAAATAATTGGAAATGTCTATATGTTTATGATTCTTTTTTGTTGTTCTTCTTCAATTGAGTATAGTTTTATGTTGTGTTACTTATGTAATATTTTTTTTGCATTTTTCTACACTGTAACAAATAAAGTAAATATATAATGATGAAAATCAAAGTAACAATGACATCATTAAAGTAACAATTACAAAATAAAATTATCCTAATGAGAAAATATTTTGAATTATTTAAGTTTATAATAAATACATGGAACAGTATAGCGATGAACATTAGGAAAAAATTGTTTAGACACTTATTTGGAATTGGTTTCTGTTTATCTGAACTAAATTTGTCTACTTTCTAACTTTTCTTTAAAATGTCTAGTTTATTTTTTACAAATTTTAAATGTTATATTTTTTTTTAATAGTACTCAGGATATCGATCTACATTAGGTATATAATCTGTTGAAGTGTTAAGTACTCATGACCAAGATTACTACATAACGACTCAATAGTTTAAATGTTCAGTATTTTTCAACAAAAACGCCATTTATTATAAAGAAAAATAATCTTCTCCCGGCGCTTATTGAAATAGTCTCTGAAAACACCTTTCAGTTTAACTACGCTATATCTGGTTTATTTCAGATGTGAGTATTTCCAACTTGGTTGATAATTGATAGCAAACATTAGTACAATTGTGTAACCATGAAAATTACTTTTCAAGGAACTTGACAAACCGTGTATATTTTGACAAAAACATTACATATTATTAATAAGTTAGATATCCATGTAACTAGTATTAGTTGAAATTGTCATCTATCAGTTGTATTTCCTTGTCTCATTAAAGATTGTACACATAGATGATGTAGGAGCTAGATATGATCATGTAAAACGTTCTTTACGGCCTTATGAAGCATCTGGTGTTAAACTGACCTCTGGTCATGTGAAGTTGTCTTATTGAAAAGTAGTTTGATTAAGAAACTTAAAAACATTATGTAAATTATATGAAACAAATTATATATAAATTAAATGTGTGACATTTTACAAACCAATTTTTAAGTCATTATATCCTTGTGCTTATTAACCAAATCTTAAAATGTCTAAAAAGACAGTTTCATTTAAACATGAACTTTAGAAACTCCGTTTTTATTTTATTATTTCTACAGAATAACATAATACAAAACAAGGCTGTAACCAAAAACAAACGAAACATACCATTTAGTGAGATATAATAATGCTAAATAATTATCTAAAAGGAATTATGATATAAAACTAAAACTTATTGTTAACACATAAGACCTGAAGGTATTTATTTTCAGTATTTTCTATTCTACAAACTAATATCCTTTAAATTACTGTTAATTGAAATTAATAAGAACACTACAAGCTGCTATTACTTCAAGTAAAATTCTTTTACTAATATGATGCAAATAAGTTGAAAAGATAATTGATTTCATGTCAGAAGAATTATAAACCCAGAATCTTTTGCTATTAACTAATCATTATTTTATCATAAAAATAATGCTATCATTTAAGAATTAAAAATGTTTTTCCAACTGCCGAATGGCTTGAAACAATAAGAACCAATCAACATCGAGGTGCACAGAACAAGCTGTGAAACGCATATGGAGAAATTCGAACACTTCACTTCTATCTGAAGTTTGTGCTGATGATGTCGTTCAGAAAAACGATGAAAGCTCCACGACCAAACCATCCAGCTCAGAGAACAAAACTCCATCAAAAAGGCTCGAAACAATTTATCATCATAGGCAGGGATGGATAGTGGCTAGCAGTAGAATCCAGGACGCGTCGTTCGTTGTACTTGGGGCTCGTCACCTGAATGTACCTGAATCTTGGAGTTGATGTCCACTCTAGGACTCAAACTCAGTACCGTTCGCTTCAAGCACCATCGCGTTATCCACTTAATGAACATCAACTCTGAGATGTAGGTATATCCAGCTGACGAGTCCCAAATAGGACGAAACGTGCGTTTTGGATTCCACTGCTAGTCACTATCCATCTTTGATTATAATGCTCGTGACCTAAGGCAATATCGAGGCAGTCCGCATAGGATTCACAATTGCCAACAAGAGATTGATCGATTGCAACCTCACATAACAATGGGAAGTTACAAGTAAATAACAACAAATAAATTGAAATAGTTTATCATCAATTAAACATTTATGTAAATGAAGGAGAAAGTACTTCGCTTTGTAAAACAAAGTATTCATTAAAAGCATAAGTACATTGATTATTGACTGTTCTTATTAATGCTTAAATAAACATTTACATAGAGAATAACTTGTTTGTCTATTTAATATATAAATAAAATAAGGAAACTTATTAAATGCATATGTAAAATAAATACATCAATTTAAAAAAAATTGTATTCATATATTTCTTTGTGACTATCAGTGAAAGTTATTAGATTCGTTTCATCTTATTTGGGGCACTTTAGTTGGACTCGGATGCATTTCATTATTGGTTTTCACGCTAAGAAATAAAATCATCACTTTTCGCTTTAAACGCTTAACCTATTGTCCACTAAATTACTGAGTTCAGATGGCCACTTATTTGTTCTAACGAAATTAAGATATTAGTAATAGTTTGTGATTTCCTATTGCTGACATTTGAAGTAATAGATACTGATTTTGAGTCCCAGTTTGAACATTACTACTAGGATGCAGATTCGTCTAGCTGAAGGATCCAAATTGGGACGGAAGCTCGTCCTGGACTCCAGTACCAGCTAGATACCAAGTATACTAAAACTTATGACATTGAGGCAGTCCGATAAATAATCAAATACGCTAACACGAACTGACCAATTTCAGTCCTGAATATCAAAAGGTGGAATACTGAAGTTATTGCGTATCAAAATACTGTAGTCTAAACTTTAGGGATGACGAACATATTGCGTAAATGTGTCAAGAATATTACACATGATATTAAAAATTCGGGTAAACGAAACCTAACCCAATTCCAGTCATTGTGTATAAAAATATCTAATGAAATCTGAAAGCGTGTGAACTCTCATGGTTTTAATTCATTTTCAGGCTATATCGGTCTGTTTTTAAGAAACAATTTTACGTAACATAATGGTAAAAAAGAATAAATTTCTAACAAAACTCCACAGTTATATTCCGTAAACGTTTGTTACATGAACATACTTGTTCAAATTTTTACAATTCCTTACTGCATACGTAATCATGAGGTAAATATCTAATGAAGTTATGAATGTTTTATGTCTACCATTCTTTATCACAGCAACTATTGCTTAATTTATGGAGAAAGTCTACTATTGACTACATATTTTGTTCGTCTTTAATAATCTTTTTGGAGTAGAATATAATTGGAAATGAACAAATTACCGCATACCAATCAATAAACAATATTCTGTTGATTGAATTCTTGACATATCTATGGAAGCTTTAGTACAAACGTGTTCATAACTAAAACTTCCATTGTCACACGTTTCTGTTGTATAATGCAGGTTTAGAAAATGCTAATAAACTCGAATTTTATTGAATAGCTGTGAATAGCATGCACATAGTTCATCAACAAGTCCTGCTTCTTGCATCTCACCGTTTAATTAATGGTAATACCTGCTAACTGCAATTTTCCGACCAGTAGATCTCCTTTTCAGAAACCAGATTTCCAAAAATACTAAATCTTTTTTAAAGTGAAATCGACCTACAAACCATTATAACTCTTACTATCAACGACAAATCCTGTAGTATGAGAATTTCTGTAAGTAGTGCTTTTAAACACAAATAGTGTTTTATAACACTATTTAAACTCAAGTGTTTTTCGCGTTTGAGAAAAAGCTAGACTACCATGGTGGACTAGCCCCAATTGACTCATGATCTCAACTATTGAAATCACTATAATATCTACAAAAATTCCCTTCTGATACTAATCAGCATATGCTCACTAGTGACGGTCTCCAAGGAGTATTTCCTGAAGTTCTAATGTGAAGCCCTGACCAGTGGATATTAGCCGCGTCTGTTGTGAGATATCAACTCACTGATGACAATGGTGTACGGTGGCACAACTTCGTGGATTAGTGGAAGTTAAAAATTAACACCACCGGATGCCAACTCAGTGGTCAAGAGATTAAGTGTTTGCGTACGAGACCGATAGATCCTGTGTTCGAATCTTGCGAGACGGGATCGTGGATGTGCACTGCTGAGGAATCCCATATTAGAGTGAAACGACTTCCGGGTTTTCCATGATGGACTAGCTTCAATTAACTCATGAACCCAACTATTGAATAATTAAAACGGTTATTTCCTCGATTTTAAACCATTTTAAAGCTAAAATAGTGTATAAA